AATGGAAAGAAGGCTAGAAAAGCAGGTTGGTTAGGTCCCCTCTTGAAGAACTAGAAACCAATCTGAGGGCTCTAAGGTGAATTTGATGGTAATGATTGAACTTTGAAGGTTTCTATAGTATCAAGAAAAAATGATCAAAATTTTCTCTGTGTTAGATTAGAGTGACAAAGGAGAGAGAGGACACAAGGTTGGTTGGTTTCCAGACTCAGAAAACACTTGAGCCATCAGCCAGAAACAAAGCATCCGAAAGGAGATGCTAGATGGTAGGAAGTGTCAAGGAGAGGATGATCATGCATATAAAATGGGAAAATTTTGAGCAAGCACATGGGTATACTGGCCTCCTTTAGAGAAGACATGCTAGGCTGTCAGAGAAGCTTAGAGGAAAGACTTCCATGAAAAAAAAAAGTTTAAAAAATCAGTACTTGGTCAATGCAGTGAGGGGCTATAAGGAGGAGAGGGCAAGCCTTAGTAAATGCTACCTTATGATATGGAGACAGCAGGAGTCACCAGAGAAGCTAGGAGGAAAATAAGGGTATGAAGGGTCATAGGATTAAGGGGAAGAAAGAGCATCTAATCCTACTGACCGGATTCGAATGTGGCAGAGGCAGGCACAGGATAGCTGAGGCAGCAAGGCATTCTTTTGTGTAGCATCCAGCACCTAACATAATACAAACTAGTAAATGTTGGTTATTTGAAGCAGCTATAGATCTTGGGCTCTGAGCCTATTGGTTTTGCCCAGTCTATGCTGAGTTTTGCCTATTCTGGAAGAGAAATTAGTTACTCTAACTCTGAATTTGTGGCCAACGGAGCTCCCAACCAAAAAGAATTGCACCTTTCATTTCACATTCTTGGAACTTGAGGATTCATTTAACCTCTTGCCTATGTGTAGATCATCTGAGTTAGATGGAAATGCATCTGTAATTGTAATGATGTCAGAGGGAACTCGTCAACTTTTGCTAGTCTGTTCTGAAGTTTCTGACAATCCTTGCCAAGGTCAACAAGAAAATAGGCCCTTCTGACCCAGACTTTCTAAAAAGCACACTTGACAAATTGAGTAATGAGTCAATCAGTAGGAAAAATAAAGTCAGAGATGACCCTCTTCTGAGAGGACAGAGTGCAGGGTCATGGCAGCTGAGGGAACAGATTGTAATGGAGGCATGGAGGCCAGTCTCCTAGCGAATGTGCTGGAGGGCGGATGCTTGGAGAACTGAGGAGCTCTGTCCCACTCAAGAACATCAAAAGCACAAAGTATAAAGGAGCATTTGTGCTGTGCCCCAAGAATAAACTCCAATGAAGCTATTCCAAAGGAATGACTATCGTCAAGGTCTCGCCATTGGAGGTTTTCCAATTCTTGGTGCCTAGAACTGATGATCCTTGAGGTCGTACACAGTGCTCCAAGATACAGGACACCCCATACCATCAGGAAGACACACTGAGAAAAACAGGGCAATAGATGCAGTGCAGAATGGGTAAAGCAACTTGTAAGGCTCATAGGAAAGGCAAGGGAAATAAGGTTTTAAAAGATTTCCAATACTTTTTAATCTGTCAAATGTTCACTGAACAGTAACTCCATGCCAAGTACTAAACTGGGCAACAGGACATGATGGCACATTCTCTCAAGGAAGGAACAGCCTACTGGGGTCCACCTCACCCAACACCTGGCATTTGTGTCCCAGTACATCTTAGCTCTTCTCATGGACATCAACATAGTATTCTCATGTTATAGTTAATTCTTTTTCTTTGCAGACTCATTTTCAGGGGAAAATGAAATTAATAATGTAAATGTATAAGGGAATGAAATAAGTTTATTTTAATGGTAAATTTATTTAACCACTTTTATAAATTACCTTGGTCCCATATTTGTAGATCTATTAAAAGTCAAAAGAAGGTTTCCCTTACTTTTCATTTTCCAATTACACTTCACTGAATTTTATAGTGGAACTTATATGTCATGGTGATATTTATGGTTTTGAAGATTCACCAAGAGTCAAGAGTCAAGAGTCCAAGTCTGGATAATATGAGAATTATGTTTTATTGATACTCTACTATATATATAACAAGGTCTATTTTAAGTTTGAAAAATAAGATTTATTCTCCTTTACATAATTTTCCTATAACTTGGAGGGAATATCATTCCTTTTCCATTTATGAAGGCTTACCATATGCTACCAGAAGACAAAGGAGGTATTTATCCACAAACTACTGCCTGAAAAGTAACTCAAATTAGAGGATAACCTAATTACCCCGCTGAATGATTTTCTTTTGGTCTCTTTCCTGGAATCTAATAGGCATTGAAACTCAAACGCTGACCCTTGTACCAAATACCCTTCAGGAACCTCAAACTTAACATGATTTGCCCAAACCTCAACTCATTTCTTTTGTCTCCTTTTGTCCATACATCTATATTTTTTTGATCAATGAAAATTGGACCAGATCTTCCTTGGATATCCAGTCACCAAGCAAATCAAATTTACCTCCTAAAAGCTCACAAATACAGCTAGGCATCTGCAGCCCCACTGCACTACCATATTTAAGACAAAAATCATCTGTCATCACAAGATTCTGAAATCTTGCCTTTCCTATTCTCCACATTGCTTCCATTGTAACATGTATAGTATAGTATTGCTTCCACTGGCATTCTGTGAAGAGCAAGCTCTATTCTTATCAATAACTGGTTCTTGCACAGTGATTTGATACCTCTGGTCCACACATAGCATAGTATATGTAGCACACGCACACAGATGTATGCATATGTTGCAGCTACTAGGCTTGAACTCTGAGCCTGAGTTCTTGGCTTTTTTGCTCAAAACTTGCTCTCTACCACTTGAGCCACATCTCCACTTCCATTTGCTAATTAATCAGAGATAAAATTGTCTCACTGATTTTTCTGCTGGCGGGCGGGGAGACATTGAACTGCAGTTCTCAATTCTCAGCTGATTAGCTAGGGTTACAGGGGTGAACCATCAGTGCCCTACTCCACAGAGAAATATTTTGAGAAGTGTTTTGCCTATGAATTGCTCTGCCTCTGAGTATCCTGAATTCTTTGGTACCTCAATGCATTTTTGTACTTGCCAAACTCTCATATTATCTCACACTTTCACCATTGTTTTCTTGGCAAGACTCTAACAGTACTTCAGGACCCATATATAACTCTCAGTGGCTCTCCTGCCTAGTCTTCCATGACAGTAGATTGGATACCCATCGCTACTAAAGCCTGTGTCACCAGTGATTGTAACAATTTGTTAACAGATTCATCTTCTCAGGTGGTCCATGTGCTTTTCTTTAACTTTGAAACCCTGCTACTTAGCAGTCAGGAAGGAAAGGACCTGGTCTGTGGCTACTTGATAAAATGAGAGACATGTCATCAAAGAGGAAATTTGCCTTTTTTGCTAATTATAAAGTGAACTGAGGTGTCAGAAAAGTTAAAACAAGGATGAAGAGTGATTTTAGACTGCAACCAATTTCTAAATTACTCATCACATCTCTTCTAGCTAAAGACTAACTCTAGTAGCCTCCTGGAGAAGAGTATTTCACACTTGGGTACCAGGTAGATCCAGCAAATATTCAACGATCATGGAAGGCATAGCTAAAACACAGCTGCTGACTTTGAACTATAAATGCAAGACAATGCCCCAGTAAAAGCATCTGCTAAATATTCTTTCTGTTTGGAACATTCAGCCACAATTACCGACACCTGTCAGTAGCCTTACTGTATATACACAGCATCCAATCAATATATATGGCAGCAGTTCCCACTGGACAACAGTACCAGGCTGCTCTTCCTTCCATCATTCATTCATTCATTCAGTGACAACTGCTGGGCGTCACTATGTACCAGTCACTCTGCAACACTCTGGATAAGATAAAAATGGATCCCTGAGAGACCAGGCTTTCTAGATGAGTTACTACAGATGGATTTGGCAACTTTGTCTGATTAAGCAGTTACTATCTAATCCTGCTGGGTTCCAAAACGTTCTCAAGTTCCCTCTTGTATCTAGCAGGCTTTGGATAACCTCCAGAGAGTAGCTAAACATTCTAATCCAGCTGAATGGCTACACACTAGGCCTGTGTCAAGATGCAAAGATATTCAGACTACAGGGTTTTTAAAAGAAGGCCAAGTTTATTGCTGCTTTCCAATGTGTGTTTTTCTAATAAGAGCTCTTTCCAAAGATTGGGGGGGAAAAAATGAAGGCAGGTAATGAGTAAAGGCTAAGATCGTGCCTCCCCCAGCAACCTGGCATTTCGGTGATTTTCTTGTTAGGGTATGGAGGGGTTCCTTAGGTGTTCTCACTATACACGGTGAGGGAAAGAAATGCTCCCAGTGCAGAGCCATTTAAGGAAAGAGGTAAATTCACTGCCTGTTAGGACCCTTGCTGGAGTCTGCACTTCAGCCTTCCGGAATGCAGGTTGCACCTAATTCTACCCTACCAAGCTCTACTGTGAGAGCGACCCATCTAAGGCAAACACACACTATTATTGTAACCCCTGCTGGACTGCTCTTCCCACCCGACTCTGGACAGAGCCGCGCCCTCGTGGCCCCCACTCCCCACCTCCCACCCCCACCAGCCCAGGCCACCCCCGAACATCCCCCACCACCCACCCCGACCCCACGTGCAGGGTCCCACCCGGGCGCTGGCGGCCCTTTAAACACCGCCACCCTTACGCACCAACCCCCCACCCCCACCCCGCCGGCCCGGACGGCAGCCGGAGAGGGACAAAACTCGTGGCGTACAGCCAGTGTCTTCCGCGGAGCCCGTCCGGGGCAACCCCAGTCCGTGGGGTTCTCCACCCCGGGGGTGGCAGCCCCCTGGCGCCCCTGCCAGGCCCGGGCGGCCTGGCCGTGGAGTGTCAGCGCGGTCCGGCTACGGGGCCGGGAGCCGGCCGCCGCCGCCGCCGCTGCCGCTGCCTCCGCCTGCCGCTCGGGCCGCCCGCTCGCCCGCCGCTGGGTGCGCTGCGCGCGGAGAGCAGCCGCGGTGCAGAGGTTCATGCAGCGGCGGCGGCGGCGGCGGCTGCTACTGCTGCCGCCGCGGAGGCAGACAGACCGGGCGCTGCCGCCGCCGCCCTCCCCCGGCTCCATGCCGCCGCCGCCGCCTCCTCTTCCTCCTCCTCTCCGGCGAGGGGCGGGGGGCTCCGGCCCGGGCTGGGCACCGCTCCTGGCAGCGCCGCTCCCCTCCCTGCCCTCAGCCCGGGCGCCGGAGCCGGCGAGGGCACCCGCTGCCTCCTAGGAGCGCACGCTCGTCCGCGCGCCCTGCCGGAGCGAGGGGGCGGGCGTGGGCGGGCGGCGGGGCAGCCACGACCCGGCGCGGCTACAAGAGGAGGGGTCTTCCCTGGAGGATGCCCGGCGGCGGCGGCCGCTCCTCACTCCTAAGCGCGAGCTGAGGCGGACCGGGAGCGAGCAGCGCGTCGCCATGCCAGCGTGACGGGCGCCCCCCGGCTGCCCGCGCGGGCCCCCGCGCTGCCCCACGCCGCGCCGCGCCGGCGCCGGGGAGCAGGATGGGCTGTATCCAAAGCATCACCTGCAAGGCGCGGATCCGGCGCGAGAATATCGTGGTGTACGATGTGTGCGCCACCATCGACCAGTGCCCCACGCGCATCGAGGAGACCTCGCCCATCGTCCTGCGCTACAAGACCCCCTACTTCAAAGCCTCTGCCCGCGTGGTCATGCCCCCCATCCCCCGCCACGAGACCTGGGTGGTGGGCTGGATCCAGGCGTGCAACCAGATGGAGTTCTTCAACACCTACAGCGACCTGGGCATGTAAGCGACCCGGCGCGCGGCGCCAGAGCGGGGTCCTGGCCCCCGGCTCTACACTCCACCCGACCCCCTCCCCAGCCCCTTCTTGCCGCTGCCCTTAGCTTCTTTCCAATCCTTCCTCCCGCCTCCCCACCCACCTCCCTCCTCCCTGCGCTTTTGTTTCAGTGACAGGGCGGGTGACGGGAGGCTCCTCGCGAAGGCATTTTCTCGTGGTTTGCTTCTGACTCCCCAGAAACGGGAGGAGAACCGTGCGGGGCGGGCACGGAGGGTGTGAGGGGTAAAGGGCATAGGGATGTGTGAGGGGGTGCTGGCAAGTGGCTTTGGAGTTGCTGGGCATCTGTGTTTGTGGGGTTTGTGGGAAGAGTTTGGAGGAAACGGTAGAGAGAGAATGGATGGAGTCCCGGGGGCGCATGGGCTGTGCCGCGCGCGTCCTTTGGAGAAAACCAAGCCGGCTTAGAAGAGAAGGTCCGAGGTGGCCAAGCAAGGAATTAGTGGAGCTGCCTTGACCCCTTTCCGACTGAGGAATCTGAGCCTTTGTGCCCCGAGCTAGGGAGGCCGTGGCATTTCCTTCTGGACCAGTAGTTGCTGCAGAGCCACCTCTGGCTCCGCGCGCCCGGTGCATGAGTTCTGGGGCGGTGGAAAGCTGGAAAGCACTTGGGCGCGTCCTGGCCAAGCGGGGGGCTGGTGGCCCTGTGGTTGCAGAGGGCTGGTGTGGCACGGGGTGTTTCTTATGCTTAAGAAAACGAGGAGTCTCTTAATCTGACTTGTAGGGTCTTTACTTTTCAAAACTTTCCTAACTGCTAGAAGGGATTCCCCAGCGCCCACCGCCGAATCCTGGCGTCGGGCTGGGAGCTCTCCAACTTCTTTCAGCAGCGCTGGTTGGTGCGCGCTCGTTTGGCGGCTGAGGTGGAGATCTGGGATCGCTGTGGCTCCGCCGCCACCAGGGGCCGACAGCCTGCCCAGGAACAGCAAGCTTCGTGTCAGGTCCAAGGCTTTTTTATTTACTAAATTTTTATAACTCCTCGCTTTCTTTAAAAACTAGACTCAGAGCAGCTAACAACTAAGATATCCGGAAGCTTTGGGGCCTGGATTCGACTTGGTGTGACAATGTAGGTCTACAACATCCTAATTAGCCTCTGGCCTATAGGGAAACGCTTTTTCTGGAAACACAACCTCATTTCATTCCTTCATCTAAAACTCTAGAGCTCCCAATTTTTACCTATTTAATATGGATATTGGGTGGGGGAGTTCTCGTTTTAAAAGGTCAAACCATCTTTAGCAGCAGTTTGCAGGCTTTTTCTTTGCACTCTGAGAGCATGTAAGTTAACACTAGTCATAGGCGCTAAAAGAAATTTTGACAGATCGTTTCGTTTTCTCTAGAGTTTGCACTTTTCTCTTTAAGCATGAAAGCTCAGTGATGGGGAAAGCTCATTCCTAGTGAAGAACTGTGGATCTCAGTTTGCAGTATGTCTTTGCACATTGTGTTCTTGTCTTTCTGGAAGACAATTCGTTGTGAGAAATGGGGTGCATAACTGTTTGGGGTGAATCATACAATTTAAAAAGACACACCCTCAAAAGAATGCATCTATCTTAACACATGTGTCTGGAAACCACTTGTTTTTGTTTCTCTTTCTTGAAACTCATTATTTCCAGCACAGTCAGAGAAAGCCACAGACAGGGCAGGGGCCTGCATCAATCTCTTCCCCTTGGTGGTAGTGGGTAACCATGCTGGGGGAGAGTAACCACTTTCCCTGGCAGCCAGGAGCCCAAGGTAGAGAAGCCAGGAAGGATTGACCAGAAGCAGCCTCATTTTTGAAAGACTGCACAAGTGAGGCTGTGTGTGGCTTCAGATCTCTTGAACTATCCTTTTCATGAACTATAAAATACTTTGTGCTTCAGGAGAAGTCAAGTGAAGATAGAAACAGTCATGAAGAGTAGGACTTCTTGAATCTGGAAGAAGAGGATATATCCGTATTAGAAGTTTCAATCCCATAAATCCCCTACAACATATTCCCTGACCTCTCACTGATTTCTTGCATTGGGGCTTTGGAAAGAGAGTTTTTATTTCTTTTTAACTGCTACTCTTGATATTTCAAGATGTTGGGTATTTGTGTTTTTAGTGCAGGAGAGCAAAAATAGGCCCTAGGAAATCATAAAATGTATTATTATAGATCTGTGTCCAAAATCTACCTGTCTCTTCATGGTTATAATAATTTCTGTGTGTTTAAGGCCACTTTGGAAGCCAGATTTTATTGAACCAATTTCCACAAAATGTTTACACTCTGAAAACTTTGCCAACATAAACTTTTTCATGGGTAGTCCTCCTGCATGAAAGTCACTGCAGTCTGTTAGTCATGTCCACTTTAGCCAGTACTTGAGTGGAAAAAAACACTGCAGGCTGAATTTTCACTCCTGGTCAAGCTTCTGTTATGTGACGTATGATGGGATGAAGGAGGTTGGGTTAGAAAGGTGACTTTTCAACCTTCTTTTAAAAGCACGGTGCCAGAGGAAATCCACAGCTTAAAAAGGCACGAAACCTCTATTTACAGTGTTAAAAGAAAACATGAGGTTTTTGTGGTTTAAATGTTGCATATTTCCAAGAAGATCTGAAATAGCTGATGGCATGATGGCTTCATTTGAACTGGAGCTCCGGTGACTTGGCATTTCCTCAAAGGACTCCAGAAGCCAGGCTGGTGAATACTTGTAGCACTTATTTATTTATTTGGGCCTGGTGGATCCTGTTAATACAGCCATCAAACAGACTTCTATAAGACTTCATCCTTTGGGGAAGAAGGGCCTCTGTTTTTTCTCAGTCAGCCTGCAATAAACAAATGTTTACCAAATGACTCTGGTGCCCAAGCACTGCAAAGCAAACAATGAAATATGCAGGTAGCCTCACTGTGCTCATTTTCTCTTCCTCTCTCATTCTCTCCTCTCTTCTCTTTGTGTGTGTGTGTGAGAGAGAGAAAGAGAGAGAGAGAGGGAAACAGCACTCTCCAATAATGTAGAAGAAATGCCTAAGAGAGGAGGGGGACCATCCAGGGTTTTGTAGAAAGGAAAAGACTCAAGCTGGACTCCAAGGGATAGAGAACATCCAGCTAGGTAAAAAAGAGGGATTAAATTCAATGGAGAAAAACAGAAGATGTTAGGAAAATACAAGGTATATTAGGAGACATGCACAGGCTGCTGTGGAATGTTTAAGGAGAACAATGGGTGAAGTTTGAAGGGTAGAACGTGTTGTTGAAGAGGGCCTAGAATAATAACCTGGAAAAGAGAAAGTCAGATGATCTTGACCAGACACAGTACCAAGAGACTCTGTGTGCCTTCTTCATGTTTCCTGAATAGCAGGAACTTCCCACTAGAGGCAGAAGACTTATGTTGAGCACTTCTGAATGCTGAAAGACAGCACCCAAGAAGTTTCCTGTGTGGTGTTTGGACAAGGAATGGGGCCCTCTTGTCAGGGCTGAATGAGGTGAAGCTGAGGTCTGGGGAAACCTGTAGTAGGTAAAAGACCTCTTTGCATTGTCTGCTACTGCTAGAAGGAAATCTTCTGGGTCCGCTGATGGCAGGTAGTATATAAACTATCTCAGATGATCGTTTGAATAACACATCTTTTAGCTTCTATGCTATTTTTCTAGGTGTTCTTTATCTTCCTTTAAAATCTAATATGTCGGAATGTTTCTCTTCTCCTCTTATCCTGTCTCTCGATAATTTTCCCCATTCCAGTGGCAAGAGATGCTCTCTGCAGTATGCAGCCATTTCTAGTCCACATATGTGTGCCAATGTAAAATTTCCATGTGATTATTAGAGGTGTAACAACCAAATGGAAATTTTAAGATGTAGGTCCCACCCAAATGCTGCACCTCCCCCATCCTTCCCCATCTTAATAAATAACAATCCCATTCTGTGAATTACTCAAAGCAACTGCCTGTCACCCCAGATATTCCCCACATACCCAATCCATCACCAAACCAACTGATTCCTTCTCTGTAACATACACTTGTAACTCAGCCCCCACTCTTTATTGTCACTGATGCATTCTTTAAGACATGTCACTATTAGCTACCATCAACTAGTTAGTTCCTGCATGAGCTTTTTCACTGAACATGCCACTTCTGTTCTTGTCCTCTCTCCAGTCTGTTTCCCTACAGCAGGAAGAGTGGTGGAGTAAAAACATTGATGTTATAGCTTCCCTGATTCAAAATTTTAGTGACTTTCAATCACAATAGAGTTCAAAAAACCACCAGGCGCCGGTGGCCCACGCCTGTAATCCTAGCTACTCAGGAGGCTGAGATCTGAGGATGGCGGTTTAAAGCCAGCCCACGCAGGAAAGTCTGTGAGACTCTTATCTCCAATAAACCACTAGAAAACCGGAAGTGGTGCTGTGGCTCAGTTGGTAGAGCGCTCGCCTTGAGCTGAAGAGCGCAGAGACAGCGCCCAAGCCCAGAGTTCAAACCCCATGACCGACTGAAAAACAAAAAACAAAAACACCTCTTCTCACTCTGAATATCTGTTCTAAAGCTATACCAACTTTCTCCAGTTCTTCAAAGGAACTAGCTTTACCCCAACTTGGTCTTCCATGTGCTTTCAGTCTGAAATGCCTTTCCTACTTACCCTGACCTCACTGATTCTTGTTCCTCATCATGTCTCAGCCACCCTCAGAGAGACCACCCCTGATTTCACAGCTTCCGTCAAGGTCCTCTAGTTCTTCTACCTCATAATACCTTGTTACTGCTGGTGAGAATATAATGAGTTATTTAACTTCTGACTTACTGCTAGAAAATAAGTGCCATAAAGTAGATAATGTATTTGTTTTGTTTTCTATAGACAGTGCCCAGACCATAGCATATGTTCAATAAATATGTGACACAACTAAATAAACGAGCCATTTTTATAACCCAAATAGTCAGTATCCTTTTCAACAAATCTTGCAAAATTAACTTGGCCTCTCAACCCTAAGCCTACCCCACAAAGCTCTTGAGCATGTGATACTCCAGAGCTAG